CGTTAGGCAGAAAAACGAGAGGCTTCCGCATCTGAATTTAGGGCGAGGAAAACGAGACTGCAAACGTCCCTACAGCAGCCGCCATTTTGCGAGAGCTCGGCCGCCGGAAGTCTCGCAGCTGAGCGGCTCGGAGCCGGCGGCGCAGGGGCGGAGCCGGGGACCGTGTATCCCCCACATCTTGACGCCGAGGGCGGGACAGGGGACCGTGCGGCTCTGAGCCTCGCGGCGGGGGCGGGGCCTGAGGTGGGGCCGAGGACAAGCGCTCGGAGGCTCGAGGCGGGGGGCGGGGCCTGAAGGCGGGACAAGGGGCCGTGAAGCTTGGAGGTTCCCAGGGAGGTGCAGCTTGAACACTCGAGGCCGGGGGCGGGGCCCCACGGCGGGGCGGGGCCGCGCAGCCGGCGCGGGGAGGAGCTGACCTGACCACAGTACTCCTGCACCTCACTTTCTCGGAACGTGACAGAGCTGCTGCAGTCGGCCGCCAGCAGCCCGCAGCTCTCGGTGAAGAGGGCTGGGGTGGGAGATGACGGTGATTTCCTCCCTGCTTAGCCCATCACGAGCATCGACTCCTTTCTCGCGGCCCCGGGGCTGCAGACGTAGCAGGTGAGATGGAGCCCTGGGGCGCGGACCTGCCCCGCCCTGGCTCGGCCTTGCGTACCCTTGGTGCCCCCATCCCCGCCCCTCGGGTCTGGGCAGGTGGGCAGTGCCCCGCCCTTGGCATCCCGGCGTGCAGTCCGCTGCCTGCGCCTGCCCCGCTTTTAGGACCTCCGGAAGATTTAACGTAGGGGAAGGGACCACTTGTCCCCTCCAGTGACAGAACTGTCATACCCCAGTTTGAGGAGCGCCTCATTGCTTGTACGTCCATGCTGTCATTCTCGGACTCTTCCTTTTATCCCGAGGGCCTGGCCTCAGTATCTGCCCTCCTGGGAGCTTCTGCCCGGGTACCTGGAGCGCTGCACCCAATTTTCTTCCTTACTCTTTTTTGGAGCATGTCAGATACCATGATGTTGTGATTCCCATGCCCTGGGGAAGCTGAGAGACCAACTTTTTTTTCCCAGGCACAGACCCCAGTCTGCTGTCTGGCCAGGCTTTGGGTGACAGCCGGTCTCTGGGCAGCCTGCTTGGTTAAGGACTCCTCACATCCTTATCTTAGAGGGCCAAAGTCTGTCCCTGCTGACAAGGGAAGAGGCAGTGCTCAGCGCTCCCCATCCTAGGTCTCTAGGGAGGACATTTGGTCCTCTGCAAGTAGGTGGGAGTGGGCGGGTGGTGTGACGTTGATGTTGAAGAGTGCTTTAATAGTATCATACTATGTCATGCTTTTCCCACAGGATAATGGATATTGGGTGTTTCAAAGCTTTCTCTTTGAAATAAATCAGAACCCTCTGCCCCATTTTCACTTAGCAATGGTAGTTGTTTACAGTTTCAGTGCTTCCTTCATGTCATCTCAACCAACTGTCAGTGGCTAGAAGGGAGTTGTATATAGCATTTCTCCACCCCTCACCCCAGTGAGTGGCCAGTGAGCAGTCTTTTACTGTGATAGGTCAACTTGTTTGTTCTGTTAGCAACCCTTGTTTTTAATGAGATGAAAAGACTGGATGCAATTTTTTACAAAAACTTCCGTTGCTGTGGTTCCTGTTCATTTTCAAAGAATGCTTTAAAAAGCATATACTCTTCCCTTTGGAGGTGGGTGGGGGGAAAGGATGAGAAACCTTTGTAAGTGCTTTTTCAGTTGTTTCAGCCTTCCCTCTATTAGCAAGTATTGCTTTTATAATGTTGAGGAACACTAAAAGTATCTTCCTGGGAAAGGGCAGATTACTTTTCAAAGTTTTTCTCTCTCTCTTTTTTTTTAAAGATTTCATTTATTTATTTGACAGAGAGAGACAGCGAGAGCAGGACCACAAGCGGGGGGAGTGGGAGAGGGAGAAGCAGGCTTCCCGCGGAGCAGGGAGCCCAGTGCGGGGCTCGATCCCAGGACCCTGGGATCATGACCTGAGCCGAAGGCAGACGCTTAATGACTGAGCCACCCAGGCGTCCTCAAAGTTTTTCTCTTAATTTTTGACTAACTTAAAGTTAATCCTGGGCAGTGCTACAACTATTTGACCATCACCTTGATGAAAATTAAGATCTCTCCCTTCCCTGCTAAAAACGACTTAAGATCAAACTGAATTAAATTGAACTCCTCTCAGTTGTTTGGTATGAAGCAAAAGCTGGTAGGTAGCCTATGACCCATCCCATCTCTCTGTTTTAGGTGGAGAATCTTTAATACCACGTTTGAAGAAGGGGCATAAGACAATGAATTACATTTAATTTGTTACCATTCTCGTTATGACCACACTCCTAATAGCAGTTGCTACCATTTCTTAAAGACCTACTCTGTGAAAAGCTGTGTATGAGGTCTCCAATCCTCACAATACCCCTTTAAGGAGGTTTTTACTCTCATTTTATAGTTGAAGAAGCTAAGGTTCAGAGAGGATATTTAACTTGCCCAAAGAGTTGGTAAGTTATAAGTCCCCAAACTGGGTTCAGGTCTATTTGACTCTTTTCAGTGAACAACCACTATTTTAGTTAAAACTGTTGGTTAAAAAATTACTGTAATACATTGAATTTGTGAGTGTGGTACAAATAAGGGGTAGTGAGCAGTATGAGTTACTAATATTCCAGGCAAACAAATATGGGGAACTTTAAAGAAATAACATATGACAGGACAAGTTTATCACCTTATTCTTTAGCATTGCCTTTTCAAGTCCGTACCTGTTAGGGGCTCCAAATGTTTAACACCCTTGTTTATCAGCTCCTTACTTCAACTAATGGTACCTATCCCAACCATTAGCTTTCCCAGGATATAATTTGATGCTTATTTGGTAAACTTCAAGTATGTGATTATTGTAGTTTTGTGTATATTAACCACTCCTGTCTAATCCTGGTAGAAAAATACTTGTCCTGATCCAGACTAAATGTAAGGTTTTTAAATGGTTCAGTTTATACGAGGGTAGCACAGAGAAAATTATCATGTCCACACCCTGTGTATCAGTTGTTGCTGGTCTCTGGCCTGCTGAGTCTTTATTATGTTGTGTGGGTGTTTGAAAACTTACCCCTTGGCATTGTAAATTTCAGGAATCATGGGCATTTTTACTTTCTACCTTATATAAGGCCACTTTAGATGGTCAGCCCGGAATAATCACTTAGAAATTGGCAATTGTCACCATATTAATTTCAAGTTACTAATTAAAGCTGATTAGTTGCGAAGTTGCCCAAACCTCATATTCATTGTGTCCCTGGCAGCAAGAAGGGAGTCTGATAAGTATTGTAATGCTAGCATAAAATATTTTCTTGCTTTAGCATTTTCTGAACATCTTTAAAACATTTTACAGCACATTTTGTGTTCTTAAACATTTATGAACAGCTTTGGGACATTTTAGAACACACCTTGGGGTCTTGGGCCTGTTGCTATAGTGAAAAACTTAGAATACTTTATCATTCAGGAAAAAAAGATTTCTGTCCATGAACTAGATAGTTCCTAAAAGAGAACATTGATCCACTAAAAGGTGAAAGGTTTAAGAGCAGATTAGTATTTTAGTCATTCATCATTACATAATTAATTATATAATTATATAATATATATACGCATATATATGTAAACTCTAACATATATGTTAGTGCCTCCTGTGTGCCAGGCACCGTGCTAGGTGTTAGGGATACAACAGTGAGCAAAAACATGCAGAGTCCCTACTTCTGTGGCACTTAAAGTCTAGTGAAAGAGATAGACATAAATCAAATAGTCACTCTAATGCATAGTGTAATTACAAACTGAGAAAAGTAGCCTACAGGTAAGGAACATGATTCTATTTAAGAAAGACCTAGCTATGGGGTTAGTGAAACCTTATGTGGTAAAACAACTCCTGACCTATATGATTTAGAGGGTGAATAGATGTTATTATATAGACAGTGGCAAGTAGAGAAGAGAACATTTTACACTGAACGGCATGTACAAAGTCCCTGTGACACAAAGGGACTATGGGGCATTCAAGAAGGCAAATATATGAGATGACTCTAAATGGAGCTAAGGGTAGCCTGGTGGGATGCCATCATTTTTTCTTTCATTCTCTTTTATGGGCTACTGAAAGTTGTATTTAACTGTTGTTAAGTGATTACTTTGTGCCGGATGTGATTATAAGGACTTGAATAATCTCAAGTCCCAGTGAGGTAGGTATTATTATTGCCATTTCACAGATGAGGAAAGTTACTGGATAAAGTTGCTATGTGATAGGGGCGCCTGGGTGGCCAGGGGCACCGGGGTGGCTCAGTCGTTAAGCGTCTGCCTTCGGCTCAGGTCATGGTCCCAGGGTCCTGGGATCAAGCCCCGCATCGGGCTCCCTGCTCAGCGGGAAGCCTGCTTCTCCTTCTCCCACTCCCCCTGCTTGTGTTCCCTCTCTCACGGTCTCTCTCTCTGTCAAAAAATAAATAAAATCTTAAAAAAAAAAAAATAAATAAAAATAAAAAATAAAGTTGCTATGTGATAGTCTGCTAAACTCTTCTTCCTGTCCTTTACTCAGGCATGACCACAGACTAGACAGGACTCTCCTATCTGGTATGTAGCCTTGAGCACTGAAATTTCCAGAGAATTTGGATGCAGGTGGACATTCAGGAGAGACTCTGTGGGCCCCATGCTCTTACCCACTAGGTGGAGCTCAAGTTTGGATCATGGGAGAGAGCCGGGGGTATCCCTGCAACTGTCATATTTGTAGATCTTATTTTATTCATGTCTGATACTGAAAACAGAAAAGCAACATAAATATTTTGAGCTGACCTAAAGAGATTATTGTTAGTAAACACTCTCAACCTTTTTTTTTCATTGTATTTTTCTCTGGTGGCTGTTGAAGAAAGTATATATATTTATTTGGCCATTTGATAAGTCTAGGTTTGCCAGTGTACAGTGTATGCTTTCAACTAGAATTCTTCTCATTATTGATTGTCACACTGAATCTTTCTTCCTTTCTTTCCAGAGATCTGGTTGGAGTTGGAGGGTGAAAGAAAATGGATTCTTTTTCTGATTTACCTGCAGAGAACTTAACCATTGCAGTCAATATGACCAAGACTTTGTCCTCAACAGTAATGAATAGATTTAATTCCACTAATGACCCACCTTCAATGTCAATAACAAGGCTTTTTCCAGCCTTACTAGAATGTTTTGGCATAGTCCTTTGTGGCTACATAGCAGGAAGAGCCAATGTCATAACATCAACACAGGCCAAAGGACTAGGAAATTTTGTCTCCAGATTTGCACTTCCAGCTTTATTATTCAAAAATATGGTTGTACTTAATTTTTCCAATGTGGATTGGTCTTTCCTATATAGTGTCTTGATTGCCAAAGCTTCTGTATTTTTCATTGTATGTGTATTAACCTTATTGGTTGCCAGTCCTGACAGTCGATTTAGCAAAGCTGGACTATTCCCTATTTTTGCTACACAAAGTAACGACTTTGCATTGGGATATCCTATAGGTAAGTTATTTTTTATTTTTCAAGTTTTTAAAAACTTCAAGTGTTTTATGAAGTAGCAAAATTTAATCCTTTAATTTATTTAGGCATTTGTTAGTGATAGATATTTACTTATATCTAAAAAAATTCTTTTGGGGCACCTGGCTGGCTCAGTTGGTAAATCATGTGGCTCTTGACCTTGGGGCCCGTGAATTCGAGCCCCATGTTGGGGGTAGAGTTTACTTAAAAAAAAAATCACAAGCCTCATTCCAAATCTCTGTACTCTGTACCACCCCACAATGCCTACCCCCAAAAGCGAATAACTCTTTAAAAAAAATTAAAATAAAAAAAAAATCTCTCATATTTTTTCTAAAATATTTCTCACTTAGGATGAATTCTATTTTTTCCTCAACTTCAGAGTTTGAAGCTCTTTCAAATATCGACCTAAAATAAATAGTCATACCTAAATAAACTTTATAAATCATCTTTCTAATATATTCTTTTTCTTCTCAGAAATCACACGAAAGAAGTTCAGGTTCCAGAAGGGATCAGATTCTGGTTTAAATTATATAAGAAAAAGAGACATATGTCTGTATAAAAATAGTTATTAAATGTTAGCAGTGGAAATTTATGAATGGCTTTTTTCCCCTCCCTCATTTTTCTTACCATCTAGATTATATATTGTTTTACATTAAATCTTGTTGTTGAGCTTATTATTCAAAATGTCAGTGTACTTCAGTTGAAGTTAATTTCTTGTGTAAGAATGAAAATGTTGAGGGCTTTTTACCTTTTCAACATTTCCTTCTTAACCTTTCCAACTCTTTAAGCAGCCTAATTTTATGTTTCTATGTGTGTTTTCCTGATAAAACATACCAATTTGGGATATTGAGCTATCTTGAACGTATTCTTTTTTCCAGAACACCCTAAGTACATAACTACTTAGTAGCTACTTTTTATATTTTTAAATTGAAGTTTATGTGCTTTGACCATGTATCATGATGTGAGGACCTGAATATTATGGACATAGTCATACATTCATTCACTCCTTCATAGGGACCTGTTACATGCCAATGATTGTGCTACCTGCTGGGAATACACCTGTCAGCAAAGTTCTATACATATTGACTTCCATTTTAATGTGGAAATAAAATAAAAATTAAAATAATATCAGGTAATGACAAGGACCATAAAAATAAAGTAGTATAGAGGGGTAGGAATGAGGAGGTACTATTTGATGTAGGGGGTCAATAAAGGCCTCTCTGATGGTATATCTTCTGAGCAGAGACTGCAAGAAATTTATTGAAGTGGGGCGCCTGGGTGGCTCAGTTGGTTAAGCAACTGCCTTCGGCTCAGGTCATGATCCTGGAGTCCCGGGATCGAGTCCCACATCGGGCTCCCTGCTCAGCAGGGAGTCTGCTTCTCCCTCTGACCCTCTTCCCTCTCGTGCTCTCTATCTCTCATGCTCTCTCTCTCAAATAAAAAAAAAAAAAGAAATTTATTGAAGTGTACAACTGGAAACTACCATTAACTTTCAGATTCCTTATTCAGTAGTTTTGAAACCCTCCCCACCCCGCCGACTGAAACTGTTAATTATTTCACCTCTGGCACCAAAAGGATTCTACCGTGTATACTTTTCCTTTTCCTCCATCTTGCTTACCAAAAATGGAGCTAAATCTTAGAAATTAAATAACTCTGAGTGAAGCAGGTTTATGAGAGGACAAACTGGACTCTTAGATGACTGAACTATAAATAGTAACTGTAAAGGTGTTCCTTTAAGGTTATTGAATTTTAAAATTAAGAATGAACCAAGCATTTAAATAAAGACTTTGGCAATAAAAGACGTTGGAAATAAAAGTCCATCTCCTCAGGAGCATGTAATGTAAATTTGTCAAGCTATTTATGGCATAAAGACCTTATAAGTGGCTCAGTATCATAGTGTTAAGTATTTAACAAATATTACATTATCTTAATTTAGGCATAAACTATATATAGTTTCATGTTCTCGTAGATTAGTAAGTCCACAACTAAACAGAACTAACATTTGTAACTTTCTACTTTATAGAGTATTTTCTTATATACTTATCTGAGGTAGGACAGATATTTTTAATCCTCATTTTCAAATAAGGAGACTGGCTTACAGAGATTTAATTGTTTATCCCAGGTCACACAGCTAATGTGACTAAGATCCAAACCTAGGTCTTTTGGTTCTAAGTCCTAGGCATTCTCTTATGCCACACAGTTATGTAACATGCCCATTTAATCTTTAGAAGACCTAACTAGCCTGTAACCCATTAAGAGCAGAGCGAATCAAAGATTTTTTTTATCTTTATATTATTCTAAAGGTATTCCATAAAATGAGTAGCAGTGGAAAAAGACCTATTAGATGAGCTTACGCATTTTCATATTAAGGCAGAATCTCCAAATCAAAAATGTAGTCAGCCATTTTCATCACTGTTTTTTTTTTTTAATGTCCCACCTTGGATCACTGAATCTGGTAATAATCATGTTCCCAGCAGTGTGCTAGTCCAATTTCCCTGATGTGATTATCCTTGTAAATTTTGAGTTGTCATTTTTTGTTTTTAAATTACAAATAATTTAAGAGCTCTTGTAGTATTAGGTTGTAGACAATAACCTTACCAGAAACCAACAGGATATGCAAAAGTGCTTTCTCACATATCTGCAGACTGGAAGGTGTGGTACAGAGCTGTAGGGCTGTGTATCTGCTCCAGTGAACTTCTTTATTATTGCTGCCCATGCCCATCTGCCTTCTGGGCTTTCTCGGGATGAACAGAGAAGACTGTGTCTCTAGAGAGAAGACCCTTTCTTTCTGTTTGTTATGTGATGTCTCCCAGGAATTCCTACTGTCTTGTTAACAGATAAGCATCATAGCTTATGAGAAATGTCCTTTTTAAGACTGCTCTTGTTCCAAAATATCAGTCCAATTTACAGGTGACTTGGGAGAAGGCAGATAAGTTAATGAATAAGAAAAAAGACATTCATTTTTTCTTTTTCTCTATATTATGCCAATTATAACAGCCTATGAACTTATGTTAAAATGATCTATCTATATTCAAGTGGCAGAATGCTACAGTGCATTTAACAGACTAATAAAGAAGCTCGCTATTTTTTAGAACAATTCTTTTCAAAGGTAACTTTAAGAAATACGAGTTCAAGAAGACACCAAGAATCTACCAAGGTGAAATGTAGATTTCAGAAAATCAGAGTGGTTCCCTACCTCTGTCATTAAAAGATACTAATAAGGCATATTTAAGTTCCTATAATTTATTCTTCAAACAATGCTGATAGCATAAGTACCCTGACTAATCATAATTATGTTCTAGTGCTTGAGCTGTAAACAGAAAGGAAATGAAGCATTTAACTATATGCCATTAAATAATAGAATGATCTTGTCTGGGTCTTTGTGTTGTTTGCTAGGGATTGAAGCCCGGCAGGAATCAAAATAGGAGCCGCAGTGGGTGGCTAATTTTGTCTTTTAGTTCCTCATAGTAGGATTCTCTCCTCCCCCCAAGAGCTTTATTTGTAACTGTTAATTAATTAGAACTTAATAGTTGATATAATCATTATAAATCTAATTTGTTAGTATAGGTCACTGCTTTCATATATGTCTTTCATAATTGAAAAACCATCTTTTGATTGGTAATTAAAGCACTGCCAATTCATAGATAAATATTGTAACTTTATGCAAATGAATGGCAGAAGTGGACTGAAATTTCCACATTAAACCCTGTTCTTCTCGTGATTTGACCATTATTTACTTATTCCCAATTTTTGCTCTCCCACTAGATTGTACCTTTTTTACCTTCATCTACCTGTTCACCTGACTCAAAATGCCCTACTAGTAACCTGCTTTATAAATATTCAGAGTGTGAAAAAAGAAAAAAAAATGGGTATAAAAAGAAACAAGTCTAAGAGAGAACAATTAGATATAAATTGCTGTGTGTTACAAAATACATTTTTACTTTGAAAACTTTGACATTCACTGATGTGCTAATTGCATTCAGCAAGTATTTTCAGATTTGCTCAGCCCTGTGCTGGGGCCTGGGGGCTCTGAAGTGATGCCTTCCAGGAACTTAGAACGGGATGAGGGGGCACTAATAGGAAACAAGGCGCCAGAGCCATCCAGAGGCGAGGAGGTCCATGACAGAGATTGAAGACTGGGGGGAAGCACTGGTACCTGAGACAGGCCTTAACCTGTAGGCAAGATTTAGGTAAGAAAAGAGAGACTTCAAGAAGTTGGGGAATGATGATCAGCATGTAGAACTCGTAATTATGAACCTGGTGTTAGTCTGGTGTAACAGTGGTATTAAACTGACTGCTGGAGGCTTTGCCCTAAGGAATAATGAGAGATGAACTGAGTAAGGAACCCATTGCAGAGACTGGACTGTGAATGTCAAAAAAGCAGCTTTATAGCTGTTCTTGTGGGAGGTGAGAACGGTGGGAAAATCAGAAGTTTTGAAAGTTAAGATTTAGATGATATTGTCAGCAGTGAATAAAATGGATCAAGGGAGTGGTCAAGAAAAACCAAAAGAATATAAGTTGGTAAACACGTTAGTCCAATTTTGAGATTTTTGACTAGTGGCTCAAGAGGAGAAAATAGAAAAGATCTGGCGAAAGAAGAGAGGACTTGGTGGTGGGTTAGCCATAGATAATAAAAGACTGCTGCTCAAATTTGCATTGAGCTTTTAAAATAATCTAAAGTCCATTATCAGATGGTGATTAAGTGCTAGAGTGCCGGGAAAGTAAATTTCTAGAAAAAGGCATTAACCTAAGGGGCTCTGTGCGCTGAAAGTCATCAAAGGAAACACCTTATGCATTTTATTTTGGCCACTTAGGGAAAATTCTTGAACTCAGATTGAAAACACAAGGCTTTTCCAAAATATATTCTCTATTTAAAAAATTGAGTGGTGGGCAAGTATGGAAGCCTTTCTCTTAGAGATGGAATACCTGATCAGAAGGAGCGGAGCAGTCTAGAAATAGTTATCAAAAGTGATGCTTTTTTTTTTTACTTAAAAGATGAAACCTTATGAAACATGAAAGAAAACCACTAAGAGATATAGAGCTCGTATATCTAATTTGGAAGTCAGTGGAAAGAATTTGTGAAATTTTATGTAATCAAATATGTTATGTTTAGCCTCTGCTTCATTTCAGGGATATTATAGACCCCTGTATGTGCTTAGCTGAAAAAAAAAAGGGAATGGAATCCTACCCAAAAGTAGGTTTTAGCTAATGAGAACTAGGTAAACTTTCTAAAGGTTATATAATCTAGTTACATAACTTTAACAGGACATGTGCATGACATTAACTGAACCTACGTATCCTAAGTAAACAAATATATTTTCCTACCTGTGTAACTTTATCTTAATGTAAACTGAGAAATCTAATCTTTTACATTTTTCCACATGATTGCCTCTGTCTTTGCTAGTGACTGTGGCTATTCTTTTTTTTTTTTAAATCTTTCTTTCTCAGCCTCCAATCATCTGTGAATTACCCTTTATATGTATTAGGTTGAATTTTGAAACTCATTGCCAAAAATGTGCCTGGAGACCAGGTTGCTTACTCCAAGGCTCTTAAGTTGCTCTGATCAACCCAAGACCAGGGCACCAACTGTCATGTCCACCAACAAACAGCTAGAAATCTAATCCAACCCACCTACCCCCCTTCCAAGGAGACTTATTTTATGACTGGTTAGGTTCTAAAGTCATGATGTATGGTCACATCCTCGAAAAATCCCTTAAGTCACCCACAAAATACAGGACACATACTTTGTGTATATCGTGCCATTTCTCATAAGTCTAACACAGCCAGATTTTTTTCTCTAGCATTGTTTTTCTTCAGCGAACAAGTGAAGTATTTAGTTTGCATTTGGGAACATGCCTTATGGGGGGGAAAAAATGAATCTTTTCTTTTCCTAAGAGAGTGTAGTTGAATTTGTGTTAGCTAAATGTGCGCTGACATGACTCTACTATATTCCACTCCCGAACATTCCTTAGATCCACCTTTTCATTCCTAATTCTTCAGCATCTTCACTGGGTCTTCCTAAAGGCATTCATTCCTTTTCATTCCCCTCAAATGGAGGCTGTTTATTTTCTCTTCACCTGCATCCTGCATATGGGCAGAGCTGGCCTGCTCATAGCCACCATGTATCTGTACCTCTGCGAGGCCATTGTTCTCTGCTCTTTTGTAGGAACTGCTTCTTTGGGGTTCATACTGCCTACCTAGTCTGTTCATCCTCACTGCTGTTTTCAGCTGACCTCATTCTGATCATTCCTCCTCATTTGGTGAAGACTTTAATATCTGACTCATTGTCATCTTCTTGACCCCCAAGTTTTGCCATTATCTTTTTTTTTTTTTTAAAGATTTTATATTTTTATTTGACAGAGAGAGAGTACAAGCAGGGGGAGGGGCAGGCAGAGGGAGAGAGAAAATCAGGCAGAGGGAGAGGGAGAAGGAGGCTCCCCACTGAGCAGAGAGCCCGACACTGGGGCTCAATCCCAGGAGCCTGGGATCATGACCTGAGCCAAAGGCAGATGCTTAACCCACTGAGCCACCCAGGCGCCCCTGCCATTAGCTTGTTTGACTTTAGCATCCATGTGAACTACCCATTAAATCCTCTCCCTTCTCAGTCCCTGACTTCTCCAACTCCAGTGATGTTTTCCTCTACTCCCTTTCAGCCACCAACTCCCACGGCACATCCTGGACCTAGGCATCTGGGAAATATTAAGTGCAATAGTTCAACTATCTGACTTAATCTCAACTCCTGACCTTCCGACTACTTGTCATTTTTGGACTTCGGAGGGACCTCCAGTCCCTGACTCCTCTGCTTTTTATCTGAGAGCCACTTGCCATCTTCACTTCTTTTCCATGATAGCTTAGACTCTATCCCTTCAGTGCTCTTTATTTCATTCATTGTCTCCTACTCTCTCCTCCACCCCCGTAGCGTGGCTTTGGTTCCCCACTCCAGTGAAACCTCTCTCAAGGGAATCAAACCACAACCACCTTGTTGCTATTACTACTTAAATGTTTAATTCCTTACTAGATTTATATTTGGAATTTAAGAATTCTACAATTCTGCCCTTTTTTTGAGACTAGTCTTAGCCTCTACATGGTAAAAATCAGTGGGTTTCACAAACAATGTATTTTTTTAAAGATTTTATTGATTTAAGAGAGAAGGAGAGAGAGGAGGGGGGAGGAGCAGAGGAAGAAGCAGACTCCACACTGAGTGGGTATCCTGCCATGGGGCTCTATCCTCTAAGACCCTGTGATCATGACCTGAGCCGAAGTCAGATGCTTAACTGACTGAGCCACCCAGGCACCCTTCACTAACAATTTTTTAAAGTTGATTATCATTTTATAGGCTAAATATCATTTAATATAGTGTGCTTTTCTTCCTTATAAGCTTTATTACTAAAATTTACTTTTCCAAAGTAGGCTAATGAGGTCATTGTGCACTATTTATATTAATTTACAATATGTTATAATTATGTAAAACATTATGTACATAATTTATTAATGCATTTCTGTAGTAATCAGTTTTAAAGCAGTTTTAATTCGTGTTTTGCAGTTGAAGCTTTATACCAAACTACATACCCAGAATATCTCCAGTACATTTACTTGGTGGCGCCCATATCTCTTATGATGTTGAACCCTATAGGATTTATCTTCTGTGAAATCCAGAAGTGGAAAGACACTCAAAATGCTTCTCAAAACAAAGTGAAAATTGTAGGACTTGGACTTCTGCGTGTATTACAGAATCCAATAGTATTTATGGTTTTCATTGGTATTGCCTTCAATTTTATTCTTGATCAAAAGGTGCCCGTATATATGGAAAATTTTCTAGATGGACTTGCAAATTCTTTCTCTGGAGCAGCTCTATTTTATCTTGGTCTTACAATGGTGGGAAAAATAAAGAAACTGAAGAAGTCAGCATTTGTTGTACTAATTCTTCTCATCACAGCTAAACTGTAAGTTTCATTTATTTAACTGGGGGACTGTACTTTGTGAAAGTCTTATTTAGCCGGTTCATTAGATGTGTCTGCAACTATTTTCTCTTTTAAGTAATCTGATAGTAATACTCCCTCCTAACTGAGTAGTTGTGATTTAAAGGAAAATGTGATGTTGATATATTGTGGAAGGTTGTTGCCTTATTCTGTGTAGGTTATTCTTTCCATTTTACTGCCAGAAGATAAAGACAATTGGTTTCCCTTTAACTTTTATATAATTTTACTTAATATCTCCTAATGTCCCAGTTTGATCATATTTTTAAAGGAAATTTTATAGGATTTCTGACTTTTCCAAATCTTTTAAAACCCTATTGGTCATGATGGAAACAATAATTTTGAATGAAGCTTTTTTTCATGAATTTGGGGAAAATATTCTATAATTCAGTGGGTGGTTGAACTTTCTAAATAGGAATGTCCATGCAAATGATTACCAACTACCTAATCCTAGCCTATCAGATAAAGTTTTTATTAGTTCCTTAGTTAACAGTTCTTCAGCTTACTTAGTTCATTAGCCATAGAGTTATACTTCATGGTGTAGGTGACATGATTTTACTGCGACACTACCCCAAGGTACTTGGGGCATACTTAACTATTGAAATTAGTTCTTGTATAGGCAGTTAAATTCATGACAGCAGTGCAATATGAAATAGTGTCTATATTTTCAAAATAATAAAAATGAATATAACTTTTGAAAATTATTTATGGTGTGGTGTTATGTTCATTGGAAGCAAAGTATTAGTATTGCCGCAGTAATAAATATGGTTCTAATGTTAATAGTATTGTCAACCTCAACTTACAAGTAGTATTTAAATATTCTCATTTTAAAGATCTTTTTTCTTAAAAAAAATCTTTTTTCTGTGTCTTTGATCCCTATTAGATATTTTTATCTATTTTTTAAATTAAAAAATACAGATAAGAGCAGTTTTTTAATTCCATACTAAAGCATATCTCTAGGTGCTACTGTGAAAATGTTACCAACCCTGGCCTCGTTCTTTTTAAAGGAAAGCTTCATTAGCTCAGCTTCCCTTATATGCTCTTTCTATGGAATCCTGAAGGATTTGTTTAATAATTGACTCTCCACCAGGTCTGGGTTTCACTACTTTTCTGCTCTAGCTCGGTTATTTCAATTCCTCTGCCAAACCCTTTTGTCTTTACAGTGATGAAGAGGTAATTGTAAGATGCCTGTTTTTCTACTGGCTTTCAGAGTCTAATCGAGCCACACTGTTATCAACACCTGAACCATTTAAACCCCAAATCATAATAAAGATCAGGGGTTCTTTCCAAAAAGAAGTTTGGTAATTTTCTTGGAAAAAAAACTTTGCTCAGATTATCAATCTTTTTTTTTTCTTTTAACATTTCAATTTTCTAGTAGAGGAAACAGGAAACAGCAACTACAGTTATAACTTTTAAAAATTTTTTTGAAAGAAAATGATTTGTAGAACCAAAGCTGAGTTTTTTTCTTCCCAATCCCTGATGTTGAAAGCATTTTTTTTTAAAGATTTTATTTATTTGAGAGAGAAAGAATGAGACAGAGAGAGCATGAGACGGGAGGAGGGTCAGAGGGAGAAGCAGACTCCCCGCCGAGCGGGGAGTCTGATGCGGGACTCAATCCCAGGACTCCAGGATCATGACCTGAGCTGAAGGCAGTCGCTTAACCAACTGAGCCACCCAGGTGCCCTTGAAAGCATTTTTTAAGAATATTGTTACACCTAAGTGGCTCCAAGTTGAATTCTTGATTCTTTCAAAATGTTCACAAGTAGGCATGCAGAGAATAGGTGCATGCAAATAGATATACCTTCTGGGCAGGAGAAGAAGAATAACCTAATGCCAAGTTCACTAGAACAATCGCCCCCTTGGGGACCAGCGTACTTTGATATCAAGTGAATGACCCATTTCTTGTTTTTTCAGCCTGGCGCTTCCACTTTTGTGCAGAGAAATGGTGGAACTCTTGGACAAGGGCGACAGTGTAGTGAACCATACAAGTTTATCAAATTATGCATTTTTGTATGGTGTCTTTCCTGTAGCACCAGGAGTGGCTATCTTTGCAACACAGTTCAACATGGAAGTAGAGATTGTATGTATATACTACTTTCTAAGTTCGATTGTATGGTTAGTAGAAAAATGAAATTTTAAAACACAGAAATCAGCCTTCTTTTATGAGAATTTGATAGGTGAAAGCTACTTCACTGTAAATAAGGAAGCATCATGTAACATCAGGTAATAGTTATTTAATCTGTGGTCTTTTCTCAGTCGTCACTTTTTTCATTAGTCTTTTTTAGTTTTAAATATTTTATTGTTGTACTTCTGTGGAAACCTAAGGGTTATTTATAGAATGGTAACTTTTGAAATTTTGGATAAAAGAAAATCTGTTTCATTCACTGTTAATTCACCAGATGTAAAACACCACATAATCAATTTCAGTAAATAGCTAAAATCAATTAACACCAAATTATTAACAGTGTCTAAGCAAATTGCACATGTTATCTATAGCATTAAATGTTTTTGAAATAAAACCTGAAGGAACTAAATTGTTTAACAAAGGTTAGTTCCGTTATTTAATCTGTAAAATGTTTACTGTGATTTTTTTTTCAAATTGATTTTATTGCCCTGTATTTTATGAAATAGTGTGGAAGGAAACTGGTCATCAGTTTAATTAGATCATTAATATGGTTTACTTTCTAGAACCTAGAAGATAACCATCAGCTTGGAATGTTTAGTTCTGGTTATGTGCAAATATTAATTGAGCGTAGAGTGGAAGAGGAGCCAAAGGAACTTAACTGTGTTTTCTTTTAAGGACTCTCAGAAAGGGGGAATATAGTATTAGAGAACATGCTGGAATTTATGATGTCTTTTTCCTGACTCTTGCTTTTATTTTAGAATGCCTTAGTGTGCTGTGGCTATTTAAAATTTAGGGGTCATTGTTTAATTGAGAGTATGACCCTTTTCTCAATTTGACTTCATTTTTTGCAGATAACCTCAGGGATGGTAATAAGCACATTTGTGTCTGCACCAATCATGTACGTTTCTGCCTGGTTACTAACCTTTCCCACTATGGACCCTAAGCCATTGGCGTATGCCATCCAGAATGTTAGTTTTGATATAAGTATTATCAGCCTTGTCTCCTTGGTAAGTACGTTTCACTGTAAATATGAATGAAAACGACAGAATGAGTTTGAAAATAGCTTGGTAACAGAAAGTTAGGGATTTAAAAATCTATTTTAAAAATCTCTTATGCAATAGTGAAAGCTAAAGCCTGCCCATAAAATGTAATATCAGCCTTCTGAGTTGTGTCTTTCCTTTTGAAAGTTAGGGTCGTGGAGCAGACGAGGCATGAGATTTAATCAGACCTGGATTGACTTTTGGCGCTATCACAAACTAGCTGTATATCTCAGCCTTTCTAAGCTCCAGTTTTCTCAGCTAGGACATAGAGATACAAATTTTACCTATTTCCATGGTTTTTTTTTAAGGATTACATATGACAATATATGTGAAAAGCATCTGCAAATGGCAAATCACTCTACGAATACTATTAGTATTAGCTAATTGTAGAATCATGGGGTCGGGAGGGATGTCCAACCACCCATTTAATGCTAATGAAGCTTTCTGGAGGAAAAAAAAAAGAGAGAGAAATCCAGTTCAAATTAAATACTTAAACATTTGACAACTAGAGTATCTTGTAGCTCAAGTTGCTTATGGAATTCCAGCAGTATTCTGGCTGGAAAAAAAAACAACTTTTACTGTTAAAGGAAGGAGGTAGAGGTGAACATGTATATGGACAACAAATAAATGTGTAATATAATTTTTGGGAAATTTCACTTCTGTTACATATTCTTAAAATTTGTGCTCTTTGATAAGAGGACAGTCTAGGGAGAGAGATGATATAAATTTTGATTGAAGGAAATCACCCAGCATACTTAGCTGGCCACTTTAGAGGGAGAATAGAAACCCAATCCTTATAAATAAGGGAATGCAAGACAATTCGTCTTAAGCTGGGCTATCTGCATTGTTTGAAGTAAGACTGCCTGGAATTTAGATACCGCATGAGCCAATGGTGGAATCAAAAGAAGAAAACTTAGAAGAATGCACTGTAACTGTTTCTCCCACTAGAGATCTTTTCCTGAATAGTTGACTGTGAGCCTGTGTCCTACCCCAGCCACCCAAGGTAGGGGAAGTTAGAACATGGCCTTGATCAAGGCATTAGTCCTTAAAGACCCTGTCATTTTTTAAAAAGATTGTATTTATTTATTTGTCAGAGAGAGAGCAAGCGAGCACAAGCAGGGGTAGCGGCAGGCAGAGGGAGAAGCAGACTCCCAGCGGAGCAGGGAGCCGGATGTAGGACTTGATCCCAGGACCCTGGGATCATGACCTGAACTGAAGGCAGACACTTAATTGACTGAGCTACCCAGGCGTCCCAACCCTGTCATTTTTGAAGAGTTAATTTACGATAGGATCTCTCCATGCTTTGATTTCCCCAAAATATAAATGACGTGTGATTATTAGTTTCAGGAGTACATCGTAGTTATTCAATATTTTTATACATTATGAAATGATCCCCATGATAAGCCCAGGTACCATTTGTCATGATTCGAAGTTATTATGATGTTACTGACCATGTTCCCTATGCTGTACATTACATCCCCAGGACATACTTGTTTTATAATTGTACTTCTCAGTCCGCCTCTTCTGTTTCACCTGCCACACAGCTCCTCCCCCTTCTGGTGACCAGCAGTTTGCTGTATCTATGAGTCTGTTTCTGTTTTGCTTTGTTATTTGGATTCCACATAGAAGTGAAATCATATAGTATTTGTGTTTCTCTGACTTATTTCACTTAGCATGATACCCGCTAGGTCCATCCATGTTATTGCATCTCCGTGCTATTTATTGTTCTTTGGGTATGGTAATTTACCTTAATATTATTTGAGGAACTAGGCAGATTAAAGTAAATAAAATATTGGAATTTCTTTCTGAACCAAGATAAAGAGAATCCTTTAAAGAAGCTAATCAATGAGTTATTTGATAAGTAGTTATGAAGGTTAAGGAGCCTGAATAACTTTTGAACCTTTTGTCTTTAAGATCTGGTCTCTGGCTATTCTTCTTTTGAGTAAGAAATATAAACAGCTCCCTCATATGCTTACAACTAATTTACTCATCGCTCAGGTTAGTAAACATACAGATACTTAGAACTATGCTTTTTTTCATTGATTATTCTACTATAGAGGAGAAAATTATGTGGCTGGGTTTTCCCAGTTATAAAGTTGAAAGTATTTTTTTACCAATTGCAATCCATTACAACTTGCTTACAATTAATTTATCCCTAACTTATTATATACCACCATAGGTCTTGAACTGTATAAAGTTGAGGCTAATAGTGGCATTCAGGGATAATTTTGCATTTTTTGATAGAAATAACTGAATCACTAAAAATTGAACTCTCACAATCTTATTCTTCTGTCAAATCTTTGCATGTCTCAAATTATAATGGGAAGAGGTTTAGCATTTTTTATGTAAACCATTACTAAATATAGGGTTAGTATTTAAAATGCTGTTTGTTTTAGTTGAATATGTATGCTGGTAAAGACTATACGAGGACTTTTATCATAAAACTTGAAGTTTTAGTATAGCTAGCATGATAATTACTCAGCAGTTATTTAAAATGAATAATTACAATGAATTTGCCATGAATAAAACAGTTGTCTGACTCCCGTGAATATGACTGACTTTGTTCATAATTTTTTCTGCAGTCTATTGTCTGTGCCGGAATGATGATCTGGAATTTCGTTAAAGAAAAAAATTTTGTTGGACAAATTCTGGTGTTTGTTTTATTGTACAGCTCCCTCTATAGTACCTACCTGTGGACAGGTAAGATGGATCATGAACGGAAACTGAAGTCTTCCATCGTGAGAAGCTATCTGAAGTCTCGTAATCCAGGACTAACGCATCCTCTCAGGCCCTTCTGCTCACTAGCACAGGCAGTGTGCAAAGCCAAGTTCCGTTTCCACGGTATAGAGAAATAGTACTCTATTTCTGCCCGGATGCAGGGGGTTTCCAGTCACATGGGTCTTTTTCCTTGGAATCTTTGGCTCTTGGCCATGGTCAGCACAGCTCCCTTTTGGAAACAGCAAGAGATCAGGTACTAGAGGCAAGTGGAGAAAGGAGGGAGAGAATGGCAGAGATGTATGAGGCATGTGAGGTATGTCCCAGAGCTCACTATCAGAGTGCAGCTGAACTGTGTGAAGAATTCTGTCTCTGCCTCCAGCAGATAGCTTAACTTTTGCAATCTCAGTTTCCTCATCTGTGAGACTGGGTTATCACACCTTACAGACTTATTTGAGAACTAAATGGGATATGGATATTTATGCCTGGTATGCGATAGGCAGTCAACAACAAGAACTATATTACTAAACAGCAAGGAAAGTGGTTATAGGAGAACAAGAAACGTAAGGAATAAAAGGGTATGGAAATACAAGAGTACCCAGTAAGAAAGACTATTTCTCATTTCAACTGGCTCCAAAAAAGACATTCAAATATTTCAGCATATTGTCACTTTGAAGTATAGTGTTTAATTTGGATGCGTACATTCTGTATGTTTGTGAAACATTCTGTGTGGCTGTTTTGCATTCACACCACAAATGTGAACATATGCAATGGCACATAAAAGGAAATTGTAGCACGGTAGGGCTGGTTATAACCACTGTTAGGAGGCAGGTGTCAGGAAGTGGCTTCGAGGGACAAGCCTTTGATTTCATGCCTTCAAGATCAAAAGCAGGGCTCATCTAAGTCAATAGCCTTTTGAAGTGAAGCAACAATGTGGTGAGGAATTATAGAACGAAAAATTCAGTACAAACAGGAGAAGGTGTGTGCTTTTTAAAGGCATGTATCTGTAACCAAACCAACGTGAGTTCGCTCCTTGGTGAGTCACAGGTAGAAACTACACCAAGTGAGTTTTTGCACAAAGGAAACTTTATTTGCTGCAAATAAGGAGATCATGGGGAATAACTTCCAAAACTGTGACTCCCCGAGCAAGGATGAATGGGTTCCTTTTGTCTAGGGTTAGGGTGAATATTTAGATAGGGAAGCCTTGTCATCGTATGTGTCGACGTGGGCATCAGGTCACACGTGCACCTTAAGGAGATGTGCCTGTTGGTCATCCCAGAGGTCGCTCCATAGTCCATCTGCACAGGTGCGAGTTGGGGATTTTGCTCAAACTGGTCTGGGTGGCCTGGGCCACCTGTTGCTTCCTCCATTGCTTGAGGGGTAGTTTCAGTTTGCATCATGCGATGTTATGCCTGTGGGGTCCTTTGCCTAAGTTAAGCTGGAAAGAAGAACTTAAGGAAAAAAGTGGGACAAAGTTATATGGGTACAGGCAGATGAGCAGTAAAGGTCAGGTCTTGGGATCTAGCTAGTGACACATCTTGTGTAGCATTAGAGTTTTCAGGAGATGTCAAGTAAAAGGGCCTGAAGACTTTTTTTTCCCCAGATACAGATGGACAATTTGATCTCCAATACTTAGGTTTATTAAGGCTAATTAATAGGAGAGCAGCAAATAGATCAGTGTATCAAAAATCCCCAAGTGTTCCAGAGACCTTGTTCTGAATTCCTGGATCCCAGTGAAGGTGCCCTTTAACCGTGAGATTATTATGCTATAACAGAATTTTAGACCTAAAGTGTCATTTTAAATCATCCCATTCAGCCATTTTCAGTTTCACTCATTTGCATACCATCTTCACAATTTTTGCCGTATCTGCATGCCACTTGTCCTTTTTTTATTTTTCCTTAAAATTCACTCACTTTTTTTACTTAAATAAATTGAGCCTTATATTAATAAAATCCCAGGTTTCGTGTGCTAGTTTTTCACATACATGTTAAAATAAATACAAAACTGGTCAAAAAATTTCACCTTATACCACCTCTAGTCCCTTACACTTTGGAAACACTGGTGTAGTGTAAGTTCTTTATTTTTCAAATGAGTTCATTGAGACCCAAAGAGTTTAACTGATTCAAGCAGGAACTCTCACAGCTTCCGCCAGCAAACCAAGAGAGACCCAGGGCTAGTCTTTGCATAAGGCAAGAATGATGACCTTTAGAACTTCAAAGAGTGCCCTCACTACCATAACAGTTGGCACACTGTTGTGTACCTTGTTTCTCTGGCACTTTGAAAACCTAGAACTATAGAGTGCACAAATGTATTTAGGAAGGAGCAGGGGTATTAAAGTACCTCTTGAGCTTGAGTAAGGTGTGGGTGCCCTGTAAAGAAAAACAGTTCTCAAGAGCCTCCATGTTCATTTGTATTATTCTAGCACAGTGTTACTTAATCTGTACAATGTTAGGTCTGGGTATGAGTTCCTTATCTATAGCTAATATACAGCTTTAAAACCGAAGCAGATTCACAGATGAGAGTCCCAATTACAAACTCAGTAATTCTAATTAGCAACATTCATGACATGACAAAGGATCTTGTTTTGCTAATCTGAATCACAACTTGAAATGTAAAATGGAACTCATTTCTCTGGTTAGGATTTTTTTTTTAGCGTGGCTTGCCTTTACTTTCTTGTGTGGGCTTATGACCTGGTTCATCTCACTGCTTTTCTCTCTTCAGACTACCACAGAACCTTCACTTGGACCATGTGTTATGATATTTGGCCTTCACTTGGCTCAAACTTAATGTTAAACCAAATGTGAGCTCTGAGATCATGAGACAGTGCTTTGGTTATAAGATGGGCATCTAGATGATTATCATTGAAAATATACCAAATATGGGGCGCCTGGGTGGCTCAGTTGTTAAGCGTCTGCCTTCGGCTCAGGTCATGATCCCAGGGTCCTGGGATCAAGCCCCGCGTCAGGCTCCCTGCTCAGCGGGGAGCCTGCTTCTCCCTCTTCCATTCCCCCTGCTTGTGTTCCCTCTCTAGCTGTCTCTCTCTGTCAAATAAATAAATAAAATCTATAAATAAAAAAAGAAAAATATACCAAATAGGCTTAAAATTTCTCACAGAAATTTCTAGATCCCACAGAATATGTCTTAAGAACCCTAGGGGGTCCATGGATCTGAGTTTTAGGAACACTGATAGAGTTTGTAGTCCTGCTCTGCCCTCTGCTGGCTATGTGGCTTGGGCAAACCCTTGCGTACCTATCTATAAAATGAAGGTGTTAATTTAAAACAGTGATCTCCTCCAACTCTGAAGTTCTAAGACTCTGTAACTATGTAGGATTTATTAAATAGGATGTTACTTGTATAAGTAATTGGGTTTAAGATAAAAGGAACGCTCAAAAGCTTTAAAACATTTGTTTTTGTATTAAGTATTAATATTAATATTATATTATATTTGTATTAAGATCTGTCCTTTAGACTTGGGGCATTTTCCAAAAATTAAACCTGGGTAAGAATTGCCTATACTTTCTTTGCACCAGCAGAGTGAGGGTATTTTTATTTTTAGACTTGTTTGGTATCCAGTTAAAATTTTTTCTTAACAAATATATAGATTCCAACACCGGTCAAAAGAATAAGCTGATTTGGGCTTTTGAAAACATCTTCATATATAAAACAAGAAGATTTGAGTAAAGAAATAATACAGGAGGGAAAACACGAATGATTTTGAGACAAACTTGCTTCAAAATATTGGGGACAGTATTTATTTAGAAAGAGTAAATTCTAGGGCCTAAACCACAGACTATCATTGAAATAAGCTTGGTTAAAATTCTATGAGGTCTGACCAACATCGAGAGAAATTATCTACCTTTCAACTTCTGTTTCTTGTTCTTAGGCCTTCTGGCAATTTCTTTGTTTCTTTTGAAAAAGAGAGAGAGTGTACAAATTCCTGTTGGAATCATCATAATATCTGGCTGGGGGTAAGTTGATAGTCTTCTGCTTGCTTATATGTTTCCGTACACATGGTTATTCTTCATCCTCTCGTTCTCTCTCTAAACCTTATCACAGAATTCCTGCTCTTCTTGTTGGTGTTCTTCTGATAACCGGAAAACATAACGGAGACAGCATTGACTCAGCCTTCTTTTATGGAAAGGAGCAGGTATGAAGAGGTTACAGTTCTGTTCTTGGGAACATCTCTTTTTCGCTTGTTCCTGTGTTTTGCTATACTTACATTAAAAGTTATTTTGAAAATCTTTTTTTTTAAGATTTATTTATTTAAGAGAAAGAGAGAGAGAGAGAGTGCGCACGAGAGGGGGGAGGGTCAGAGGGAGAAGCAGACTCCCCGCGGAGCAGGGAGCCCGATGCGGGACTCGATCCCGGGACACCAGGATCAGGACCTGAGCCGAAGGCAGTCGCTTAACCGACTGAGCCACCCAGGCGCCCTGAAAATCTATTCCAATTTGCTGCATATCCCACTCTGTGGTCCTATATCACTTTAAGTCACAACTCAAACTGTGGTAAAGATTTTATAGGTCTACATCTGTTTGTTTTTTTATTTTTAAAGATTTTATTTATTTATTTGACAGAGAGAGCAAGAGAGCACAAGCAGGGGGAGCAGGAGAAGGAGAGGTAGAAGCAGGCTTCTCACTGAGCAGGGAGCCCGATGCGGGGCTCGATTCCAGGTCCCCAAGCCGAAGGCAGACGCCCAACCATCCGAACCACCCAGGAGCCCCTACATCTATTTTTAGCTGAGGATCTCCAAATGCTTGAAACTTACTGGGTCTTCTTAAACTCACTTATGAATTATGTTTCCTCTACTGGAGGAAAGAGTGATTAATTTAGAGCTATTTAATCAGTTAGCAGTAATAATAAAAGCCATGTTCTTGACTTTCAATCCTATTATAAATATAAATTTCAGAACAGTAAGTATCTGGGGAAAAAGGTGCTTAGAAGCCATAGTGTATCTGCTGATGAGAACTCTCTAGGGTTAGGACCCAAGGATGTGTGTTTAAAACAAACAAACCTTCAAAAGATTTTGGTTTCTTATCCTCTTTTTTCTGTTTTGTAGTTTTGAATTTTATTGGGTTGTGAGAATAAATAAGATTACACATATAAAAGAGTTCGACTAGTGCTGCCATTTGTTAGTATTCAATTAGTATTAGCCAGAATTATTTATGGTTAGTATTATTACCGTAACAGTCTCTAGGTGAAGTACGCTTGAATTACAAATTAAAGCAAGCAAACACTTTGAAATAAAAAAGGTCTGTAAGCAGTCATTTAGCTTACTTATAGAGGAAACCAGTGACACTGATGGATAGTGATGGATAGAAGCATCTAGAAATCTTAGGATTCCAAGCAAATCCTAATTTCTCTTCAAGTAACCTACTCCCTTTCATATTCTTACTCTCTTTTGAAAACCACTGTTCTAGAGCATTTATAGCTGTGGAGATACTGCATTTCCCACCAAACAAAAGTTCCCTTAAGCTACTGTACTAAGATGATCAAGCTGGGACCGTGAAAAGTGGCCTAATGTCTCTTTGCAATTTTGGCAGATGATCATCACAGCAGTCACCCTGTTCTGCAGCATCACGATAGCTGGCATATCACTCATGTGTATGAACCACACCACCCAAGCAGGACACTATGAAGGTTTCGACCAGTCTCAGAACCACAAAGCAGCAGAGCCTGGGAACGCTGCTTTTGAGGAGAGTCCAGTGCCAGCAAATGAACCAGAACCTTTTACAAGTTCTATCCCAGAAACAAGTATGATCCTGACATATAAAGAAATTTCCTATGTGCCCACAGAGCATGTATCCTAAATGTTTTGCTTCAGGGAACTCTCTTGAACTATATCTTGACTATCACGTGTATTTGTCAAATGAGGGACTTGAATAATAGTCAATAATAGAAAGAGCTCGTGAGTTCTTCATTAGAGTCACATTAATAAATCTTTTATGAGGATAATCTTATGTTAAATCCTAAAACTTCTTTGGACCTGAAAGTTTAGGAGAAAGTAACAACTGAAGGAAGTCCCTTTCTAGGAAACTAAGCACTTAAAACACTTGTAAATTGGACAATAGTGTATCAGGTGAGCACCATCAATAGAATGAACTCCAGGAGATCTGGTTAAGCAGAGTCAATAATAGTTAGGAATAGGCAAACCATAGTCTGCAGGCCAAATGTGATTCACCACCCGGTCCTGTGTGGCCCAAGAGCTAAGAATAATTTTTACATATTTAAAGGGTTGAAGAAAAACTTCTAAAAATTTCTAAAACTTGGAAGCTATATGAACTTTAAATTTCCGTGGTCATAATGTTTTATTCGAAACCACCTGTGCTCATTCATTTATGTATTTTCCCTGGGCTGCTTTCACCCTATGTTGGTAGAGTTCAGTCATTCACCAGAGACCCAGGGGACTGCAAAGCCCAAAATATTTATCATCTGGTCCTTTACAGCAAATGTTTGCCAATCCTCTAAGTAAACATATGTTCCTAACTAGTAACTTTGTTAATAAGTGTTAACAACTGTTGTGGGATTTGCTTCAATTTGTGAAGGGAACTCAGCAATAGAGTATGCATTTTGGATTCATTGGTGCATGTGGAGATTTCATAGACATAAAGCATTGTGCCTGGGAGTGTAAGGGCCGGTACCTATTTTGTTCAGAGACTTTGTGGCATATAGGGATGACTGATCTCAAAACTATTAATTGTAAATGTCAATAAGTGAATGATTAAAAAAAGAGAGTAAGATTTTTAAAAATTATCTTTGTTGTAAAAAGAGGAAAATCCCACAGATCTTACCATTTTATGTGCCTTCTCCGCCCTCTCTCCCTTCCTCCATGCCAAACTGAAAGTATAGAGGACAGTGGCTAAAAACGGGGACTGGAGCCAGACTGCCTGGGTTCAAGTCCTGACTCCACAGTTTACTGCTCTTTGATCTTGGGCAAGTTCCCTCTGCCTCAGTTTCCATATCTGATGATGATCCTTATTTCATAGGACTATAAGGTCCTATTACACAGGACTGTAGTTTGCCACTTCCTGACTTACACCATTATCCCTGCCTCGGTCAGGACTCCTTTAGTTCATATTATTAATGGTGCTCGCTCATTTTTTTGTTAGATCCTTTGTGATTTCAGCATCAGAATTTCATTCTTTTGAGCCCTTTTGACCATTTTCCCTTTTAAAATGGAGGTTCAAGGATTCTCTTTATGATGTGTTCACTAAAATTTTACAAGTTGCTTTCTCTAAGTCTAGAGTACTTTTCCGATGCTGCCCAGTACCCTCTCCTTCCTCACTTCCTTTGTGGACAGCTACAGTGATCCTGTAAAGGATCCTGCAGACCACCGCTCTAGCTGGCTCTCTGTGTCTTCTTCCCCCATGAGTGTTTCAGAACTGGCTACAGAAGGCCTGACAATATGTGTGGGGAACACAAAACAAAGTGTCTTAAGACCAGAGCCTTTTGCTGCCACTATTACCTGTATTTTATTTTTAAAGATTTAGTTATTTATTTTGAGAGAGTGCAAGAGAGCAAGTGCATGTGGGGCGGGGTGGGGGGCAGAGGGAAAGAATCTCAAGCAGACTCCCCACTGAGCACAGAGCCTGACATGGGGCTCGATCTCACGACCACCCTGAGATCATGACCTGAGCTGAAGGCAGACACTTAACTGACTGAGCCACCCAGGCACCCCTCTATCTGTATTTTAAAAATAGCAAATAAACTGCACCATAGATGTTCTTTAAACTCAGTCATCAGGGGGCGCCTGGGTGGCTTGGTCATTAAGTGTCTGCCTTGGGCTCAGGTCATGGTCCCAGGGTCCTGGGATCGAGCCCTGCTTCCGGCTCCCTGCTCTGCGGGAAGCCTGCTTCTCCCTCTCCCACTCCCCCTGCTTGTGTTCCCTCTCTCGCTGTGTCTGTCTCTATCAAATAAATAAGTAAAATCTTTAAAAAAATAAATAAACTCAGTCATCGTCATCTCCAGCAGGAAAACCAGCTTGTCCTATAATGTAAATAAAGAGCCAGAGGATAGCTATCGCTTGGTTCCATAGGAAATCTTCCTTAGTGTTTCTATTTCCCTCTCCTTGTATCTCACTGTTTTATAACTGCTGTTGAACCTATCTGTACAACCCACTAGACTATAAATGCTATGACTGATTTGCCCAACATTATAGCCTCGGCACCTAGCTTGGTATCAGTCTTAACTGTAAGTGTTTAGTAATATTTGTTAATGGATGAGTAGATGCATGGCTGGATAAGTTACACCATGATTTTCTTTTTTTTTTTTTTAAGATTTTATTTATTTATTTGAGAGAGAGAGAGCACAAGCTGGGTGGGGGGTGGCGAAGGTAGGGGGAGAGGCAGAGGGAGAGGGAGAAGCAGGCTTCCTGCTGAGCAGGGGGCCCGACGTGGGGCTCGATCCCAGGACCCTGCGATCATGACCTGAGCCAAAGGCAGATGCTTAATGACTGAGCCACCCAGGTGCCCCTGCACCATGATTTTCTGAAGCTACCCTACAAATTGCCATGGCAAAGTACTTGTTTATTTGCCTGTTCACCCATGTTCCGAGGGGAAAATCTGTGTGGTTATTCCCCTCCCGCAAATCCTGCTCTCTTCTGCTTTGCTAGTAGTGTTAACACATAACACATTTGATGTCTAGCCTGGCTTCCCCAAATCTTGGTTATCCAAAGTAGTTCACTCACCTCTACCCCTTGCTATGCATTTGTCAGAGACCCATGATTTGCACATGTTGTAAGTGTGGAATTATGACTAAAAGAGAAATTAACCTATTAACATTTTAATATGAGATCAAAGGCTTAGTTATAAAAGAGAAGGCTAATAGGCTAGTTATGTATCCTTCTTATGTTAGAAGATAAAAACTGCCATAGCACTTTTTGTGGTGGCTGTAATCATGTGTGAGTAACCGCGTGCATGCCCTGTATGTATGTCATTGGAATGGGCTGGCTTTATATCTGTTTTCTGAACAATTTCATCTTAGCTGACTTAAGCCTTCAAATTTCTGAAGATAGGAGGGCTGGGCCAGATGATCTCTGTATTTTCTTTTCTATTCTGTGGTTCTATTTTAACCTTGAGATGGCATCATTATCTTAAATTTAGAAAGACACTTGTAATAGCTTATTATAGATTGTAGTTTTTATACTTTGAAATCTTTTTCTGTTAAGAACACTGCTGAAGAATTAAGTCATATTATCAATGAAAATTTCAGCCTAGACATTATTCCTTTTTCTAGCATATTAAATTTTAATACAATTTATCACTGAACTTATTATCTATTAGAATTCACATCAGAAAAAAAAGAAGAATCCATGTCAAGGAGCACCATGTCTTATATCTGTGTTTAAAGGACACTGTATGCATCCTCTGACTATGTAGGAGAGAAACTATAGCTCTATAGCAGATGTCTCAGTGAACTTCCATAAACCGATCTACATATAAAGCAGCAAGAGATTTTCAGCAGTGTATGTTTGAAAAGACAAAAGAATAGAATTGTTTTGGCTGCATTTTCTTTTTCTTTTTTTTTTTAAAGATTTTATTTATTTATTTCAGAGAGAGAGAGAATGAGAGATAGAGAGCACGAGAGGGAAGAGGGTCAGAGGGAGAAGCAGACTCCCTGCTGAGCAGGGAGCCCGATATGGGACTCAATCCCGGGACTCCGGGATCATGACCTGAGCCGAAGGCAGTCGCTTAACCAACTGAGCCACCCAGGCACCCTTGGCTGCATTTTCTAGACTAGTAGGAAACACCTTCTTGGGCTCCTGGGTGGCTCAGTTGGTCAAGCGACTGCCTTCGGCTCAGGTCATGGTCCCGGAGTCCTGGGATGGAGTCCCACATGGCTCTTGGCTCATCAGGGAGCCTGCTTCTCCCTCTGACTCTCTCCCCTCTCATGCTGTCTCTCTCTCTCTCAGTCTCTCAAATAAATAAATAAAATCTTAAAAAAAAAAAAAAGGAAACACCTCTTGAAAGAAGCAAGTCTTGAGCTGAACATAAAGGAGGAGAGGATTTCAAAGACTTAACAAGAGTGGGAATTGCACACGTGTCTAACTAGGTCTGCAGACCCGAAAAGGCATGGGGTTTGTGGAGGACACTAAAGAATTGTCCGGAAAGAAGGAAGATGCCTTGTTGGACAGTGGGGATGGTTGGATAGGGTAAGAGGGGCCAAGTCCTCAGGAGCTTTCAAATTCAGGCCAAGGAGCTTCAATTAACTACAATAAACAATAGAGCGTTAGTGCGTGTTTTTAAGGAGTGATGAAAAAAATCTGTTTTTGAAGAAAGTGTTTAAATTCTTAGTTCTCAAAGCACAGTGGTAACTAATAAAAGCAGCATGGATTAAAACACTCTTCTTTGTCATGCAACGAGGAGACAATATACAGAGGAGCTGGTCCTTGTCTGCCACTCTTTAAATGTTAACCTCCGTATAAGCACATGTAAATTCTTGATAGACACCGTGTGAACACATTTCCATTATGGCTCTATGGGAAATTTGTGTGTGTGTATGAGTAGGTGGGTTGTCTTGTTTGGTCTGGTTTGGCATCTCTTGAAGTTGTCCATTTCTGTTGTGGTTGGGCCTTATTCTCCTATGTTGTTTTATCTATATAGGTTGCTGCTCCTGCTCAATGGGAGATGGTGGATTGCGCTGCCCATCCACCGAGCCAGTAGCAAACACAGGCGCCAGTGGGCTTGTGACTCCTTCATTTGAGAAAAGTAAGTGCCTCCAGGCTATGAGGATGAGCCTAAGGAACAGAAGATTCCTCTCCTTATACTGTAAAAGATTTCAGCTCAGGATTTCATAGAAGCTACACTGCTTATGTATTCTCAAATAAGACGGGGAAAAGTGCTAATAGGATAATAATTGTGCATAGATAGGATACTCATTTAAAAAAATAAAGTTCGGGGAACCTGGGTAGCTCAGTTGGTTAAGCATCCGACTCTTGATCTCAGCTCGGGTCTTGGTCTCAGGGTTGTGAGTTCAGACACTGAGTTGGGCTCCACACTAGACATGGAGCCTACTTAAAAAAATAATAATAAAAAAATCAAGTTCTTATAATATAGTAATTGGTAGTATTATAGACACATTTTCCAATGAATTTAACCCATGTGATAATTCCAAGAAGTTTGCCCCAAGTACCATTTTTTTGGGAGGGACTTTTTTATTTTAGCAGCTGAGACTTTTCCCCCACTCATCTCCTTCAGGGCCAGGACCAATTAGTGCTTAATTACATTTTGAATCTATAGACTTTAAATATACCCTTTCTTATAAAATAAGAAAAATCTTTGAAAGTAATAAACTTTGACATACAGAGTAGAAGACTGAATTACATTTGTGGTCTGAATTTCAGGTTATTTATTTGTTTGAGCTAAAATTGGTATGTAACATTATATTAGTATAAGGTGTACAACATAATAGTTCAATATTTGTATACATTACACAGTGATCACCACAATAAGTCTAGTTACCATCCGTGACTATACAATTCACCCCCTTCACTCTTTTCACCCTCCCCTAACCCCCTTCCCCTCTGATAACCACCAGTCTGTTTTCAACCTTGCCCTAGCTCTTGGTTGTCTCTAGAACCTTTGTGATTGTCTAGCCTGATTTGTTCTTGATAGTCCCAGTTGTTGAGGGTGTGCTAGGACGGGTCCAAAGGAAGGGACCTAGATTCAGGCTGATTGGAAGCCAGATTCTCAGGCAGCAGCTCTTAAAGTATGCAAATATATATAGTCCTGTGGGACCAGAATCGTAGACCCTGCTGACCTCTAGACCAGGAGATCTGAAGGTATCCCCTGGGTGCAGTTGCCAAGAATCAGGGTTTCAGTCAAGTGTAAAAGATCCTTTCTGGGAGATACCAGTGAGCTGTGGCAAGGCCGAGGTGGGGGGTGGGGTTTGCATAGATGCTGTCTCTGCTTGCATCCTCCAGAGTGCTTCTGTAGCCTTTAAATGTGTGGCTTTAACCTGAAGCCTGTCCCTCAGGTTAAAGCTCCTGGATGATCAAATGGGTCTTTTTCATGTGCACTCTGGGGGTGTATTTCAGTTTGCTGTCTGCGTATTGCCCAGGATGTGGTATCCTGTCCAGAACTATCTTTCCAATTGTTACAGACCCGTGGAGCCTAGAAGCCCAAGCCTCCCCAGCCACCAGAGCCAGGCAGTTGGGTGGCCTCTGTGTGGACTGATTCATCCACCAGCTTTAGCAAGGCTGCGGGAGAGTGTTGGGTGTGGGACAGGCCTGTGCCAGGAAAGAGCATCTTGGGTGGGGCACACCTACTATTTTAGCAGAGCTGGAGTAGAGCATTCTGGGAGGGACATGCCTTGGTTTGAGCCATGTTATGTTTGCACGCACCTGCCTGCCCTGGCAAGGTAGAGGGAGAGTGTAAAAACTGGCACTCTCCAGCAGCTCCATCCACAAGAAAAATTCCAGTGAATCTTTTAAGATTAGCAGTTGAATCTCCTTCACATATAATCTAGTCACTTCTCAAACAGCTACCTTTGTGCTGGTTCCCCAGACGGGTGAGTCCATGCATGAGCCCCTCAAAAGGAGTATCTCAGATCCCCATAGCCCTTGGGCCCCCTGGACATAAGCCCCATGTTTCCAGAACAAGACTTTTTGGGGGCCTCATATGTCTGGTACAGGTCCCAAGGGTTGGGGTCCTGATGTGGAGCACAATCCCCTCACTCCTCAGGAAGTTCTAAGCCCGTGAGATCCTTCCCTATTGTGAGTCACTGTACCCAGGGTGCGCTTTTCGGTAAGATTGCATTTCTGCCTTTCCTACCTGGCTTGATGTGGCCATTTTTCCCTTGTTTTGGAGGAAGCGGGCCAGCTAGTTTCAGTTCTTTTTAGGTGGGAGTTATTCCATATAGAGTGGTAGATATGGTGTATCTATGGGAGATGAGTTCAGGGTCTTCCTATGCCACCATCTTGGATCATCCCCATGCACGCACAATGGAATTCAAATTATTTAAAACAACTGAACACACTTACATGAAATTGCAATGCACTTTCAGTTGATTAGGCTTATTTGTAATTAAATTAGAAAGGGAAACCCCCAAAAGCCCTCTTAAGACATGGTGAAATATATGTCAACTGTATTGTTGTCAAAGGCATTTCACTTTTTTTTTTTTAAAGATTTTATTTATTTATTTGAGAGAGAGAATGAGAGAGAGAAGGTAGGGGGAGAGGCAGAGGGAGAGGGAGAAGCAGGCTTCCCGCTGAGCAGGGGGCCCGACGTGGGGCTCGATCCCAGGACCCTGCGATCATGACCTGAGCCAAAGGCAGATGCTTAATGACTGAGCCACCCAGGTGCCCCTGCACCATGATTTTCTGAAGCTACCCTACAAATTGCCATGGCAAAGTACTTGTTTATTTGCCTGTTCACCCATGTTCCGAGGGGAAAATCTGTGTGGTTATTCCCCTCCCGCAAATCCTGCTCTCTTCTGCTTTGCTAGTAGTGTTAACACATAACACATTTGATGTCTAGCCTGGCTTCCCCAAATCTTGGTTATCCAAAGTAGTTCACTCACCTCTACCCCTTGCTATGCATTTGTCAGAGACCCATGATTTGCACATGTTGTAAGTGTGGAATTATGACTAAAAGAGAAATTAACCTATTAACATTTTAATATGAGATCAAAGGCTTAGTTATAAAAGAGAAGGCTAATAGGCTAGTTATGTATCCTTCTTATGTTAGAAGATAAAAACTGCCATAGCACTTTTTGTGGTGGCTGTAATCATGTGTGAGTAACCGCGTGCATGCCCTGTATGTATGTCATTGGAATGGGCTGGCTTTATATCTGTTTTCTGAACAATTTCATCTTAGCTGACTTAAGCCTTCAAATTTCTGAAGATAGGAGGGCTGGGCCAGATGATCTCTGTATTTTCTTTTCTATTCTGTGGTTCTATTTTAACCTTGAGATGGCATCATTATCTTAAATTTAGAAAGACACTTGTAATAGCTTATTATAGATTGTAGTTTTTATACTTTGAAATCTTTTTCTGTTAAGAACACTGCTGAAGAATTAAGTCATATTATCAATGAAAATTTCAGCCTAGACATTATTCCTTTTTCTAGCATATTAAATTTTAATACAATTTATCACTGAACTTATTATCTATTAGAATTCACATCAGAAAAAAAAGAAGAATCCATGTCAAGGAGCACCATGTCTTATATCTGTGTTTAAAGGACACTGTATGCATCCTCTGACTATGTAGGAGAGAAACTATAGCTCTATAGCAGATGTCTCAGTGAACTTCCATAAACCGATCTACATATAAAGCAGCAAGAGATTTTCAGCAGTGTATGTTTGAAAAGACAAAAGAATAGAATTGTTTTGGCTGCATTTTCTTTTTCTTTTTTTTT